GGGGAGGGGAGGCACAGCGGTGAGGGAGGGACAGGCGTGGTCGGGCAGGACACGGAGGCGGGAGAGGGGAGGACGTGTGTGGGCGCGAATGGACGCGGGTGGGCAGGAGCGGGTGGACACGGGTGTGTGGGCGCCGGCAGGGGCAGGGCCAGGGCCCGGGAAGGGAGGACGCCGGTGTGTGTTCCCGGAAGCCCTTGCTCCGGGGCCTGTGGGTCTCCAGGATGGGTGGGATTTGGGCACAAGTGCTGTGTTTGTTGATTGAATTCTGCTTCTGAGGACCCGCTGCTTCAGGGCCATCCTTCTTCCCTTCCCTCCAGTGAGAATGGTTGAGAAGGTCCCTCCCTATGTCTCTCTTCTTCACGAAGCCCAAGCTCGGCTTCCTTGCCGATCCCTCTCCCCCGCCATGCGGGTTGCCTGTGTTAGTCTCCCCTCAGAGTTCAAGGTGCGTTTTGCTTCCTCCAGTGGTCAGTCTTTGAGGCATCACGGTCCTCACCCCAGGTCCCGGCACTGCTCCCTGGGCCCACATGTTGGCCGTGTCCAATTCCACCCGACCCAGCATCTTCACCCTGCAGTTGTGGGGTTTTCTTTTGGTCTTCATGATGAAAATATTTTTCCATTTCAGTTCAAGAGAAGACACACCGAACAGTGCCTCGACACCTTCATTCCAGTAGTTGTGCAAAGTATGACTTAGTTTTGATGTCCCTAGGAACTTACTCTCACATTGAGTCTCACTCCATCACCCTGGCTGGAGCGCAGTGACGTATTCATGGCCACCCCAGCATCGACCTACTGGTCTCTGGTGATCCTTCTGCCTCAGTCTTCCAAGTAGCCAGAACTACAGGCGCACTCTACCACACCTGACTATTTTTTTAAAAAATTTACTGTAACGAGAAGGTTTTGCTAAGTTGCCCAGGTTGGTCTCGAACCTGTGGGCTCAGGCAGTCCACTTACCTCGGCCTCCGAAAGTGCTGGGATTACAGGCTGAGCCACTGAGCCTGGCCAAAGTTTTAATTTTACAGGCCCTGTCATGGCTGTGCTGATTGTTTTTTTTTCTTTGAGTCAGAGTCTCACTCTGTCCTCCAGGCTGGAGAACAGTGGCACACTCATGGCCACCCAGCCTCGACCTGCTGGGCTCAGGCAATCCTTCCACCTCAACCTTCCAAGTAGCTGGAACTACAGGTGTGTGCCACCACACCTGGCTGATTTTTTTTTTTTTTTTAGTTTATTGTAGAGACGAAATCTTGCCCTGTTGCTCAGGCTGGTCTCGAACTCCTGAGCTCAGGCAGTCCTCTCGCCTCCACCTCCCAACGTGCTGGAATGACAGGCATGAGCTACCACACCCAGCCGGGGTTGCTGATTTCCTATTACTGATCGACAGAGTGAGACACACCCAACTCAAAATGAATGAATGAATGATATTTTGATTTCACAGGCTCTGTCAGGGTGGCCTGAGCAGCAGCACCAGCCCGTGTGCAGAGACCTGTGCGAGACGACAACTAAATTGCCTTTGTTTTCTGCCACAGGAAGCTGTCCCCACTGAGAAGCTCGGCCCGCTCAGGAGATGCGACAGCCAGGCCAGCAGCCGCCATGAAGACGAGTATCTGGTGCCAGGGCCGGGGGACGCTGCTGTGTCCATGGCCATGAACCTGGCCGCCCCGTGGCCCCGGGCGCCCCGGCCCGAGACCATGACCACGACCCAGAATGGCCATGGGCGAGGCGCTGTGTCCACATGTCCCGCCTCCCACCCAAAAGACCCCAGGATGGTGACCTCCATGGCGTGTCAGAACGGAGGCTGCGGCAGTGACGCAGAGGCCCAGGAGGCCAGACTCAGCCCGGCCAAGCTGGTGCGCATTTTCTCTGTGAGCCGGAGGAGAGCAGGTGCCCAGCCCGAGCGACCACGCTCACTGGTCCTGGTGGGTGGCTCGTCCACCTGGAATGCCCTGGCCTCCTTCCGGAAGATGGGCTCGTTCAAGAAGCTCAAGTCCTCTGTCCTGCAGGGCATCCAGACCCGAGAGGGCTCAGACGCCTTCTCCAAGGAGGACGCCCCGGAGCCCGACCCGGGAAGACCCACCCCAAATGGCACCGTCGTGAGTGTCCAGGCCAGCAGGTGTGCCTCCTGGGGACAGGGCCAAGCGGGAGCCGGGGGCGCATCTGACGGCTCAGACCCCGAGGACACAGATGATGCCTTCCAGAGGAGCACTCACCGCTCACGCAGCATCCGCAGGGCATACGGTCTAGGCCGCATCAGCTTGCTGGACACCGACGGGCCGGCAACCCAGGGCCCCGCGCCACCTGTGTCCCCTGCTGGCCAGGAGCCCCCTGTGTGTGAGATCCTGGTGAAGGATGCTCAGAACCACGGCCTGGTGTGCCGAAGGAGCAAAAGCACAGACAGCCTGAGCTTCCTCAAGAAGAGCTCCTTCAAGCGCAAGTCCACCTCCAACCTGGCTGAGCTCCGGGGGACGCCAGATGCCCAGGGGCCCCGGCGGACCCTCAGCAGTTCCTCCGCGGACTCCGAGAAGCTCGGGGGGCCCGAGAGGAGGACCAGGCGCTGGAGGAGCCCGATCCGGGCCAAGGACTTCGACAGGGTCCTGAGACTGGTGAGCAACGTGACGGATGCGGCCTGGAAGAGGGAGGGACCCAAGGGCGCGGCCCCGGCCCCCGGCGATGCCAACCCCGGGCTGCGACTGCAGAGCCGGCTGCATGACGACTACTCCCGACGGGTGTCCAGCAGCTCCGAGCAGGACCGGAGGCGGGTCTCCGGCCTCACTCCAGGTCCCCGCGTGGACGTGGTCACGGCCATTCCCCTCGAAGCCAGAGGCTTGCGGGCGTCGGAGAGTGGCAGTCCTTGTGCCGAGAGCTTCTCCCCGAGCCCGGTGGCCCAGGAAGTGTCCAATGGGGACTCCAATGACCCGAGCGCTGGCAGCCAGTTGACATCTGACCCCGAGCAGCCCCCCAGCCCGCGGAGGCCCACCACGCCCAAGCCCCAGAGCCCTCAGAGCCCGGGGGCGGGGAGCACCAAGCGTCCCAGCAGTCATAGTGCGCTGTCCCTGAGCTCGGTGGACAGTGAAGGAAGAGCAGAGGGGCCTGCCCAGAGAGAGCCGGGGCCCGAGGCCTTGCTGGACCTGGGTGGTGGGGACCGTGAGGACTTTCTGCGGAGCCCTGGAGCGGCCAGTCCAGGAGATGAGGAGGTAAGGGCCAAGACGGGGTTCCTCCTGGGGCACCCTCACCCATGGGAGGGGAGCTTGCATGGGTGCTCACACCTCCCCAAGGATCCCGCACTACACACCTGTCATCCTTGGTCCCTAATCCATCGAGGCCGGGACCTGTGCTGACCGTGTGGCCTGTAGTTGTTAGTGTCAGGAGCTGTCGAGGTCCTGTGTCCCACGTAGGGGACCTTGGCCTCTCTTGAAGCACACTGCTGATGTATAAACTTGCTTGAACTGGGCTTACCCCACTGGCTACTCAAAAGGTATTTATTGAGCACCTACTGGATGCCAGAGCCCAGGGAAGATAAGCTGTGAAAGACCTCCCTTCTGCCCATGCAGCTGTGAGGTGCTCTGGAGATTTTCATTTTTGGAACAGTTTTTGTTATTGCTTCTTCATATGTTAAACTGTTTCCATATTGCTTCCAACAGAGTGCTTACAGATGAAATGCTTTGTGTTAAGAGACCATTACAGCCAGGCGTGGCGGCTCATGCCTGTCATCCCAGCACTTTGGGAGGCAGAGGCGAGAGGATTGCTTGAGCCCATGGGTTCGAGACCAGCCTGGGCAACATGGCAAGATCTTGTCTCTATAATAAATCAAAAAATTAGCTAGTCATGGTGGCATGCACCTGTAGTTCCAGCTACTTGGAAGACTGAGGTGGAAGGATTGCCTGTGCCCAGCATGTGCCACCCCACCTGGCTAATTTTTTGCTTTTTCATAGAGACAAGGTCTTGTCAAGTAGCCCAGGACTCCTCCTTCTTGGCCTCCCAAAGTGGCTTGAGCCGCCACGCCTGGCCTTCTATTTTATTTTCTGAGAACAAGCCAGGAACGTGAAGCTTGGTACCTGCCAACCTCTGAAGGACGCTTGTTCAAAAAGATTTCTAGGGTGGCAGTTGTACTTATTTTTAGAGCGAATCATGAGCGTCTCCTGAATCGACTTGGCTAATCATTGCTGAGGCGGCAGGAGCAGTGTTCTTCCCAGATTCTGTCAAGCACCCAGACACCTTTCCTGTGTGATTTTCACTTTGTAAATGTGCTCAGCAATATGCTTTAGAGGCTGAGAGATTGGGGACACGTCTGCATGTATCTGTTGCAAATATCTTTCCACACACATTCCTGGGCGGTGCTGTTGGTATGAATTGGTGCTTGCCATAGAAAACAGCCCCTCTGGGCTGGGCACGGTGGATCATGCCTGTAATCCCAGCACTTTGGGAGGCAGAGGCGAGAGGATTGCCTTAGCCCAGGGGTTCAAGACCAGCCTGGGCCACTTGGCGAGACCTCATCTACGATAAAGCAAAATATTAGCCAGGTGTGGTGGCACATGCCTGTGGTTCCAGCGACTCGGGAGGCTGAGGCAGAAGGATCGTCTGAGCACAGCAGATCGAGGCTGCGGTGGCCATGAGCGTGCCACTGCACTCCAGCCTGGGTGACAGAGTGAGATTCCAATGCAAAAAAGAAAAAAAGAAAATAGTCCCTCAGAAGTGTGCTCCCTATGCACCGGGAGGGGCCTCCGTTTTGTATTGATGCCCACAGGTGAACGATGGAGAGCAGGGCTTGCAGGGCAAGAAGCCGGGAAACCTCTGAACTGTCCATTCCTGATCTGGGACCCGGATAATAGAAACTTTCTAGAAAGTCATAGAAACTTGAGTTCTTGGGCTGGGCATGGTGGCTCACGACCAGAGGCCGAGGTGAGAAGATTGCCTGAGTCCATGGGTTCAAGACCAGCCTGGGCAGCTTGGCGAGATCTCATCTCTACAATAAGTCAGAAAATTAGTCAGGCATGATGTTGCGTGCCTTTGGCTCCAGCTACTTGGAAAATTGAGGTGGGAGGATCACCTGAGCCCAGCAGGTCGAGGCTGTGGTGGCCGTGAGCGTGCCACTGCACTCCAGCTTGTATGACAGAGTGAGTCTCTGGGTCAAAAAAAAAAAGAAAGAAAGAAAGTAGAGTCGTGGCAGAGTGCTTTCAGGAAGGGAGGCTGTCTCACCCTGTGTTCAGGGTTCACGTGGAGAGCTCCGGCCAGCCCGGCTCTCAGCGACCTTGAATGTTGACAGCCGCTGTCTCCTTTGCATACTTCGGAAAAAGCCCGTGGGACAGGTGTGAGGACCCAAGATGTGTTGCCAGCCATGGGAAACCATCCAGCTCTGTTACCCCTGGTTTGCACAATTGGCCAAAACTCCATTAATTCCTGGGTGAAGTGAAGCCTGGCATTTCTCCCCTCAGCACCCTGCCTGCCTGTTGGGAGCTTGGAGCTCTCTCTCTCCAAAAAAAAAAGGATTTGCAGAGGTCTGGTGGTTCTTCACTTTAAAGGCAGAATTGTATTCTCTGCCTAACAAAACTAGTAAAAATAAAAATCAAGAACATATTTATTCCAAGTGAAGATATTACTAGAGTTAATGTCTAATTGAGTCAGTTACTGGCCAGTGTTGTTTGGACCAATATATTTTTTTTATGCATATATTTGCGGTTCTTAGTTATATATATGTATATATTTTTTTCTTTTTTTTTTTTTGAGTTGGAGTTTCACTCTCACTCAGACTGGAGGGCAGTGGCACGCTCGCGGCCACCACAACCTTGACCTGCTGGGCTCAGGTGATTCTTCCGCCTCAGCCTTCCAAGTAACTGGAACTACAGGCACATGCCACCATACCCGACTAATTTTTTGATTTATTGTACAGATGAGGTTTCGCCAAGTTGCCCAGGCGGGTCTCGAACCCACGGGCTCAGGCAGTCCTCTCACCTCGGCCTCCCAAAGTGCTGGGATTATAGGCATGAGCCACCACGCCAAGCCTCCATTTTTATGTTAATATACATGTCTTACTTCTTATTTGAGTGATTGGCAGTACGGTTCTACTTAATGTGTTTAAAGCAGATAATAGCTGTGGTGGTTGTTGAATGAGAAAAGGTTGAAATCAATGCCATTTTGGTGTTATTAAAATAAGTATCACATACTTTCAATAGGAGACAATGGTTTTTATTTAGAATCACGTATTTATAAGGCACCACCCCAAAAATGGCAGAATCATCGTTGAAAGACTGTGGGTTGTTTAACAAGATTATCTAACCGTGTGAAAAAAGCTGGGAAAATGTCACCCCGCTCCCATTTATAAAGCGCGTCACAGCCCTGCCACCTAGTGGTAAGCCTGGTTGTAAGCGCTGTGGTCTGGGACCAAGTCCCTCGATGGGTTACCTGGTTTGAAGATGCAGTTTGGCATGTTCCCGTGGGCTAACCACACAGTGGCAGCCAGTGTGGAAATGGTCGGCTAAGTGTGTAACATCATTGGTTCCTACTACCCTCCGAGGCCCACAGAGAAGACGGAAGACAAGACAAGTTCAAGAGTTTGCCCTGGCCGGGCGCAGTGACTCATGCCTATAATCCCAGCACTTTGGGAGACCGAGGTGAGAGAATTGCTCCCTCATGAAGGTGTCACCATGGGCGTTTAGAGCATTACTGCTGGTCTTCCTGCCAGTTCACAGGGGAAAGGGTCCCTCTCCTTCTACTCACACAGTATAGAGCCTGTGAGTCATCGTGATATTGGGATATGCCACAGTCCAAGCTCTCATAAATGATGAGAACTGCCTGGGTGCGGTGGCTCACACCTGTAATCCCAGCAACTCAGGAGACCGAGGCAGGAGGATCGCTTGAGTCCAGGAGTTGGAGGCTACAGTGAGCTACAGGGTGAGTCCAGGAGTTGGAGGCTACAGGGTGACAGAGACACACCCTGTCTCTAAGTATATATATGAGAACCAGTTGTACCCCCTTCCAGGGAACTTTGGTAAGTGCAGGCTCTTGATAATGTTTCTGGTTTTCTGGGGACCCTGACCCTGCCATTCAAAAGGTCCCTAACCTTGCAAACAGGAAAAACTTTTTTTTGCTTGAGTTAGAGTCTCACTCTGTCACCCAGGCTGGAGTGTAGTGGCACACTCATGGCCACCGCAGCTTCGACCTGCTGGGCTCAGGCGATCCTTCTGCCTCAGCCTTCCAAGTAGCTGGAACTATAAGCATGCGCCAACATGCCTGGCTAATTTTTTTATTTATTGTAAAAATGAGATCTCACCAAGTTGCCCAGACTGGTCTCAAACCTGTGGGCTCAGGCAATCCTCTCACCTCGGCCTTCCAAAGTGCTGGGATTATAGGCGAGAGTCACTGCGCCTGGGCAGGGCAAACTCTTGAATTTGTCTTGGCCTCTGTCTTCTCTGTGGGCCGCGAAGGGTAGTAGGAACCAGTGATATTACACACTTAGCCGACCGTTTCCACACTGGCTGCCGCCGTGTGGTTAGTGCCATCTGTTTAGATTATTTTTCCATCCTAGATTGATGTGGCTTTCAAGACACGTTTTTTCCAGAACTTTTTTTTTTTTTTTTTTTGAGTCGGAGTCTCACTCTGTCACCCAGACTGGAGTGCAGTGGCTGCTCCCGGTCACCGCAGCCTCGACCTGCTGGGCTCCGGCAATCCTTCTGCCTCAGCCTTCCGAGTAGCTAGAATTACAGGCATGCGCTACCACGCCCGACTGATTTTTTGATTTATTGTGGAGATGAGGTCTCGCTGCCCAGGCGGGTTTCGAACCCACGGGCTCAGGCAATCCACTCACCTCAGCCTTCCAAAGGCACGGGATTACAGGCTGAACCACCGAGCCCGGCTTCCAGAACTCTTTTTTGATACAATGCTATTACAGTCTTAGAGGGACTGAGAGGTTCTTCAGATGATTCGTTTAGCATCACATTAATTTTTTAAAATGCATGAGAGCTAAGTTCCCACATGATCTGTTAGGTGTTTGCTCAGCAAAGCACCACACCAAACTTGTAAGCACTCATAAGGGACCACTGAGGTGTGACTCTGTGGGGAACGTGGCTGAGACCGAGGCAGCTGGCCAGGGCCTGGATGTGTCTCGGTCACAGAAGGACTGCAGGTGGATGGAATCCCATCAAAGAGTTCAAAGCACACGCTGTGGCTTCCAGAAGTGCAGTGATGCTCACCCATGTGCCAAATT